TTTTTTTTTTTTGCTTTTTTTTTTTGCTTTTTTTTTTGTTGTTGTTGTTTTTTTCTTTTTTTCTTTTTTCGAAAAGGAGTTAGCCCCTAGGGTGACCGTACTCATCTGATTCCATCGGAACTCAAACTCACGACCTGTTTACCCGAATACAACGCACAGCCATTATAGCTGTACGTATTTTGGGCCTCTTTCAGTGTAAGTACAACCACATCCTGTACCAACAAGTAGATGTGGGTACAGTTCAGCAACATGGCACAAGTGGGGACTCTACTACACTACCTTCTTCACCCGGGTACACCGTACAGTCATTATAGCTGGTATGTATTTGGCGTACATTTCAGTCTAAATAGAGCAATAATGCCCGTGCGTTGTATCCGGGTGAAGAAGTTACTTTTGACATACGACGGCTCTGGCAGCACAAGTGAATGTGTGACGTGACGATAAACACGGGTCTGCGGGGGTCAACTGCAGAATGAACGGGCAGTGCGCTGAGCATCCCTGTTGTAAATAACCACGGTCCGGGTGACGACTGATCCCAATGGGCCCGATGGGACCAATGGGCCCAAACTGAACCGACGGCACCAATTGAGTTTCAACTTTCAAGATTCCAAAAGGGAACTGCGACACCAGAAAGAATGCTTGGGGGCGACAACGAGGAAATATCAGGTATCAGGCCCGTTGGGCCCATTTGGCCTATTCGGCCAATTGGGCCCATGTACAGAAAAGACGGGCCAACGGTTGGGCACAACATTCGAAAGTCCAAACCAAAGGACAGGCAGTCACCTAGGAAGATTCTCATGCCCTGCCGGGCACCCGGGCGTGACGCCTGGGGGGCTCTGACGCCCGGGTACCCGGGCATGCAAAAAAAAAAAAAAAAAGGATTTTTTTTTTTTTTTTTTTTTTTTTTGGGGGGGGGGGGTTGCGCTCTCCCAGAGGACCCCAAATCCGGGCTCATTTCTTTTTTTGCAAGTTGGCTGTCAAGGGGGGGGGAATGGCGGTATAAATTGGTTTTAAAGCTAGGCTACCAGAGTGGGCAAGTGCATTAAAAAAAATAAAATAAAATAAAATATTTTTGAATTTTATAATTTCGATGTGACCCTGAGGCAAAAGTTGTTCAGTTTATTTTTCTGCATAACATAGTTTTTTTTCAGAATTTTTGGAATTTTTTTTTTGTTTTTTGCTGGGACCTTACCTGATCCTTGCACGGGCTGGCCACCCGGGACCTGGGCGGCCCGGCTGGTAGCCTAGTTTTAAAGGGGTTAAAGGGGTTGAAAGGGGGGTACCTTAGTGCAATTCTGTTATTTTCTTTTTGATATCCGATTCTGTGAGGAATTCTAATGTGACCCTCCACCAAAAGTCGTTTGTATTGCAATTCTACACAACATAATTTTTTCCCGGATTTTTTTTTTTTTTTTTTTTTTTTTTTTGCGCTGGGACTGCCCAGAACCATGCCCGGGAGTCATGCCCGCCTGGGCACCCGGGCGTGTACCCGGGCATAAGTTGGGTGCCCAGGCGCCCAGAAAAAACAGCCTAGGCAGTCACAATATATATATATATATATTTTTTTTTTTAATTGGCTAGCTGGCCCACTGCCTGGCCAAGGGCACCTTGCAGCAGGCCACAAGTCCGAGACTTCAGATTTTTTTTTCTTTTGGGACCATGTCTCGATTAATGCATGTCATCCTTGCGCAGGCGCCATGCTAATCTGCATTCTCTATATTGTTACAATTTTAACGGATGTTCCGAAGAACAAGACTCCACATTATTATGTTATGTTATTATTGTTTTGTTTTTTATCCTCCTCCTTCTCCTCCTCTTTTTATTTCGCGTGTCATCCTCCTGCAGGGGCCTTGCTAATCTACCCTTCTCTTTATCGTTCCAATTTTAACAGGTATCCCGAAGGACACCCTCCTCCTCCTTCACCTTCTTCCATCCTTCTCCTGTCTCCTCCTCCTGTCTCCTCCTCCTCCTCCTCCTCCTCCTCCTGCTCCTCCTCCTCCTCCTCCTCCTTTTCTTTTCTTCTTATTCTTTAACCTGCCGCAACACTGCAAAGATCTGGCATTTGCACTGGCCCAAATCACCTTACATCTCACCACAACTCCCGGACTACACACGACTTCTTCTTCTTCTTCCTCTTCCTCCTCCTCCTCCTCCTCCTCCTCCTCCTTTTCTCCCTCATCTTATTCTTTTACCTGCCGCAACACTGCAAAAATCTGGCAGTTGCACTGGCCAGATCACTTAAAATCACACCACACCTCCCAGACTCCACATGACTTCTTCTTCTTCTTCTTCTTCTTCCTCCTCCTCCTCCTCCTCCTCCTCCTCTTTTTCTTCCTCCTTCATGAAGTCCATTAGGCATCAGAGAGCGAGCGTTGACATACTCGCGTATAAGATTGAAAATCCATTGCTTTTTTTTTTGCTTTTTTTTTTTAATATAATTTAAATCCATTGCTTATTTATCTCGCCCGCAAACCTCCTAACACGAATGCTTTGCTTCATTCAAGCAGTTTGCTGTTTCCATGTAGAGCTCACTGACCTTCTGAGAGTACTGGTTTCTTCTTCTCTTGCTTGTCGCTATCGATAACTGAAGGCACTTTCTGCTTGGGCTGAGTTTCCTTCAGCAACTGGTTGATCGGCCGCCACCTACCGCTGCCTGCCCTTTTGCTTAGCTCCACGTGATGCTTTCCTTCCACCTCTGCAGGGTAGACAAGCTCACAATTCGCAGCCACAACGAAAAACAGGGAGGAGCAGGAGGAGTAGGACGATGACGATGACGACGGCGACGAGGAGGAGGAGCAAATGGGGAGGAGACGAAGAGGAGCAGGACAGGAGAAGGGGGGGGAGGGGGAGGAGGAGGAGGAGGAGGAGACAGGAGAAAGAAACACCCACTGGGCAATCAATTTTCAGTCAACAACTCAAGAAAGCGATCAGCTCATTTAAACCACTCCAGTACCCCCAGCTCCAATCCGTCAGCCACTCACTCACGCAAATCGCCTACGCCATTTCAGCCGATTACTCCCCCACTCAAACCAACTGGAATCGCAAGGGCCCACCCAGAATTCCTCGGGTCGGTGGCCTTGGGGTACAGCGTCCCTACTTCGTCCCCAGGGCCTGGAAAAGTCAACCTAGGCCCACAAAAGTCAACGGTAAGGCCTTACCCAGGCAGCAGACCAAGAGTCAAGCGCGTTGTCAGAGAGTCGACGACAGCCACAGATAACAAAGAAATGCAAAGGGTCGGCATTTTGTCCAGAAGCATCCAGGGCCTACTGGGTCCAAGGACCCTCAGACCACGTCTGGATCCCAGCCGCATAGACAAACGAATCTCAGCCCTCCATTGGAGTCGAGAGGAGGCAGGCGAGACCGACCGTCGCAATACAAATGGCTATCACTGCACTTGCAACAGATTC